AGATGATTTCTATTTGTAGCTTAAGCTTTTTTTCTTAGTCTTCGGGGTATTAGAAATTACAGTACAGGGACAGGAGAAATGGCTCAGTGGTTAAGAGCCCTCATTGCTCTTTCTGAAGGTCCTGAGTTCAATTCCCAGTATCCACATGGCAGCTCAACTATCTGATGCCATCTTGTAGTGTGCAGATGTACATGTAGACAAAGTACTCATATAAAAAATCCATAAATAAGTCTTTATAAAAATAGAAACTACAGTACAATATTTGCTAAATGTAATCTGAATGTCATATTGTCTGTGTTCCCATATACTTAGGTTGAGATGGGAGGATCACTTGGCAAAAAAAAAAAAAAAAAAAAAAAAAACCAAAAACAAAAACAAAAAAACCATGAGTTCAAGGCTAGTTTTTGCAACATAATTCTCACACACAAAAATTGCTGCTAGTTCTCTATTGGGGGGGGGCAGTAAGAAAGGGTTTCTTTGCCTCTGCTTACCATGTACATGTTGGGATCAAAAGTGTGTGCCACCACTTCCCAGCAAGTTGTTAAATCTAATAATTACATAAGCAGCTGCTATGCTCTTTTTGCATGACTAGGTGTTCAATACATTTTATTTTCAAAATATAACATAAAACAAAAACCATCGGACTGAAGTTGCACAAGGCAAGAGAAAAATAAATAAGCCCCAAAGAGGGCACAAGAATCAGAGACCTACTTGTTCATGCATTCAGGAGTTCCATAAAAGTACTAAACTGAAAGCTATAGTGTTGGTTTTTGATGTTGTTTTGGTTTTTCAAGGCAGGATTTCTCTGTGTGTAGCCCTGGCTGGCTATATCAAAATTTGCTCTGTAGACCAGACTGACCTTGAACTCTCACAGAGTGTTCTCTGCCTCCTGGGCACTAGGATTAAAGGCTTGTGCACAGTAGCTCATTTCTTATTTTCTTCATTTGTTTATTATTTATACAGCATTCTGCCTGCATGTGTTCATGTGCACCAGATCTCACTATAGTTATGAGCCACCATGTGGTTGCTGGCAATTGAACTCAGGATGTTTGGAAAAACAGCCAGTGTTCTTAAACCTCTGAGCCATCTCTGTACCCTTCTTTTTTTTGGAAAGGATTAATTTATTTACTATACATACCATGTTTTGACTACATGCATGCCTGCATACCAGAAGAGGGCACCAGAACTCATAATAGATGGTTGTGGGCTACCATGTGATTTCTGGGAATTGATCTCAGGACCTAGGGAAGAGCAGACAGTACTCTTAACCACTGAGCCATCTCTAGAACTGCCAGTGTTCTTAAGCTCTGAGCCATCTCTCCAGCCCCTATTTTACTTATTAGAGTACTAGAATGTGAACCAGGCCTCATGTGTACTAGGTAAGCATCCTATCACTGAGTAACAGCCTACGCGGATTATATATATTTTTGAGACAAAGTCTCATCACATAGCTTTGACTGGAATCTTCCAAGTGCTGTTGTCACAGGCGTGAGCTACCACATCCAGCCGTGGACATATTTTTGTTTATTTTGTGTGAGCATGTAAACGTGTGTGGAGGTGAGAGATGACAACTTTCGGGCATTGGTTTCCTTCTCCCACTAAGTAGATCCTAGGAATCAAGCTCAGGACATCAGGCTTGCTGGCAAATCCTGCCTACCCTGGACATATGCTCTTCCATTTTTATTTTATGTGTATGAGTGTTTTGCCTAAATGTATGTTTCCCATGTGTGTGCATGAACATGGGGGCCAGAAGAGGGTGAGAGAACTCCTGAAACTGGAGTTATAGGCAGTTGTGAGCCATCATGTGGGTGCTGAGAACCAAACCCCAGTCCTCTGCAAGAACAGCAAGTGCTCTTAACTGCTAAGCCATTTTTTTTAGCCCCTGGAGATATATGTTTTATTCTCTTGGGTACAAAACTAGGAAAGGAATAACTACATCACAGGCAAATTAATAGAAAACCATGTTTATCGGTGCTGGGGATTGCACCTAGGGCCTAGTATATGCTAAGCATATATGACCACTGAGTTCTACTACACCTCTAGTCTCTCAAACCATGTGTGGATGTGTTGGTATATGCTTTTAATCCAATTACTAACAAAAGCAGAGTTACAGGACAGCCAGAACTGTGTGACAGCAAAACCGTATCTAAAAAACAAACCATAGCAAATAAATAAGCATATATAGGTATCTGTAACACTAAGACTAGCCAAAGTCACTTTCACCATACTACCAGCCTCTATGTACCTCCCGCTGAATCTACTTTTCCTCCAGCAGAACCACCCAGGAGGCAATATAGCACACTGAATAACTACCAGAAGGTATGTTAAAAGGTCAACCCAGGAACTGGAGAGGTAACTCAGTAGTTAAGAGTACTTGCTACTCTTGCAGAGTACCTGAGTTTGGCTCCAGCATCCTCATTAGGTGATTCACAACCATCTGTAATTCCAGTTCCAGTGGATTCAATGGCTTTTCGCCTTCTTCAGTGCCCACACACGTACACATAAACATACTGTGTGTGTGTAATTAAAATAAAATAGGGAGTGGAAAGATGGCTCAGTGCTCCAGAACACTTACTGCTAAGGGCCCAGCACAGGGCCAGGATTAGTACCCAGCACTCACATGTTGGCTTACTTCCTGTAACTGTCTTTCCATGGGATCTGACACCTCTGGCCTCTGGGGGTTTCTATACACTTTTGAAACATAAAATATGTACACACATATTCACATATACATACATGTAAAAAATTCTTTATAAGAAAAAAAATATAGCCAGGCAGGGGTAGTACATGCTTTTAAACTCAACACTCCAGAGGTAGAGGCAGAGGCAGGTAAATCTTTGTGAGTTCAAGGCCAGCCCAGTCTACAGAGGAAGTTCCAGGACAGTCAAGGACTACACAGAGAAACCTTATTGCAAAAAACTGAACCAAACCAAATCCCTGAAAACAAAACTAAAAGTAAAGGGGCTGGAGAGATGGTTCAGTGTTTAAACACATTTCCTGTTTTTACAGAAGACCCAAGTTCACTTTCTAGCACTCATATGGCAACTCAAAAGTGTCTATAACTCAAGTTATAGACAAATGTCTTCTTCTGACTTCTGAAGTCACCAGGCATGAACACAGTGTACATACATACATGTAGGCAACACACTCATATGAATTAAATAAAAAATATGTAAATTTTTAAAAAGTATGTTATAAAGAGCCACAGTCTGAGTTGTTGTTGTTTTTGAGGCAGAGTTCTCTGTGTATCCTTGGCTGTCCTGGACTTGCCTTGTTGACCAGGCTGGACTTGGACTCACGGAGATCCACCTGCTTCTGCCTCATTGAGGCAGTATGAGTTTCAATCTATCATGGTCATTATTATTATTTTCTTTTTTGACAAAGGGTTCAATTCCCAGCATCTACATTGCAGCTCACAACTGTTTGTGTCTCCAGTTCCTGGGGATCTGACACCCTCACACTAATTCACACAAAGTGAAAAGAGAGCTGGCCTGGAGAGGTGGTTCACAGGTTAAGAGTACTGCCTCTTCTTCCAAAGGTCCTGAGTTCAATTGCCAGCAACTACATGGTGGCTCATAACCATCTAGAGTGAGATCTGGTGCCTTCTTCTGGCTTGCTGACACACATACAGGCAGAATGCTGTATAAATAATAAAAAAATAAATCATTAAAAAATAAACAAATAAAGACTGAGAGCTTGCTGCTTTTTCTGGAGACCTGAATTCAGTTCTCAGTAATCACAATCAAGTAGCTCATAACTGCCTATAACTCCAACTCCAGGGACAGTCAACACCTCTGGCATCCATAGACAACTGTGCTCCAGTCACATAAACCAATACACAGACATTATACACCTAACTTAAAAAAAATAAATCTTAAAAAGGAAGAACCTTCTCTGTGGATATACTAAAAGGAGGTGATTAAATGTAATTTTGAGGCTGAACTTGGTAGCAAAGACCTGTTACTTGGTAAATTGGGAAGCTGAGACAAGAGAATGAAAACTCAAGGTCAGGCCTAGGATTCCATCTCAAAACAAAGACACAGAACAAGGAAACACGAAAAAACTGCACAAAAATGCAAACTAGGGACTTGAATAAAGTCCCAGGTTTGGAAACAAAGTGGATGTTCCAATTCCAGTGATTGTGTGCCACCATGGTGGGCTAAAACATAAAATACGCCTACTTTTGTATGGTTCAAAGGTGCCACAGTACCTCGAGATGGAACTCAGGTTGGACTGGAGGCAGGTGCTTTACCCACTGACGCATTTCGCTGGTTCAAGATGTCTGCTCAAACATGTATTTATTTTTCTTTTAGACAGGGTCTCCCCGAGTAGCCTGGAACTTATTATGTATACCAGGCTGGTCTGGAATTCACAGGCATGCCTACCTCAGCTTCCTATACCAGGCAAAATCAAGTAATTAAAAAAAAAATCCTGGGAATTGAACCTAGGTCTTAGAACTCCTGTGTACTGGCAAGCCCTCTGCCAGTGAGCTGTAACCCCAGGTCCTCATAATTACTTTCTCTCTCCAGCCCCCTGACCATTTCTCTCTCTCTCCCGCTGTTTCTCTCCTCTCTCCCAGCTTTTATAATATCTATCATTTTATCTATGTTGGCACTGGGAACCAAACTTAGGGCCATGTCCACTAGTGCTTAAAAAAAAAAATAAAGCCATGAAATTGTTAATGGTTGTGAATGTTGAAGTTTCGGCTGTTCGCTTCACTTAGCTTCACATTTTCCTAAGGAAAAATGTAAATCCAGGATAAGTAAGTGGCAATCCCACCTTTAACACAATTCAACGCAGCTTTCCTTTGGGGAAGCAGCACAATCCGGAAAATCCGGTTCCAATCCTTACTTCCGTGTATTGTGACCTGTGACCGGAGGTTCCCAGGGGGCAAAAGTCATGCGGCCTCAGAACTTCTTTCCTATTGGAGGAAAAATCTTCCGCGGTTTTCGCGCACTTTGGGTGGACCAATCACACACAGTGAAGTGGCGCTCCTTAGTCTCAGGTCTGGAAGGACGGCCCACTCTCTCCGTTGTTTTTCTTTTCAGCTTTTGGAAGGCTCTGTAGGTCGCGGAGCTGGCTAAGTCACTTTCCTGCGACTGATATATTTGTTTCCGGCCCATGGAGCCCGGCTGGGCGGCGAGGCTGTCCGCGCCCCGTGCTGGCACCCCTGCCGCCATGTCGGACACGGACAGCGACGAGGACTCAGCAGGAGGAGGCCCGTTTTCTTTAACCGGCTTCCTGTTCGGCAACATCAACGGAGCAGGGCAGCTGGAGGGCGAAAGCGTCCTGGATGATGTGAGACGCGGGCTTGGACCTGAGGCGGAGGGCGGCGGCGCTGGGGACGTCGGGTGGAAGAGTCCAGGCTGTTTGGGAAACTGTAGTAGTAGAGGGCGTTTCAGCCCGTTCTGGGTGCAGGGGTTCAGCCTTCTCTTGGGTTTGGGGACTACTGGAGAGAGAGTCGGGCTCAGTTCTGAGGAAGAACGGAGAGAAAAGAGGAAAATGGTTAAGTGCCGGTCATTTATGCTGAGGGTTTGTTTGAACTTAACATTCTACTTGCCTGGTTGGAAAACTAAGGTTTAAACCTGGTAGAGTTCTCAGAACTGCTACTGGGTAAGATCCTACTTGAACACTTTTGGAACTCTTGCTTTTCTGGCTTTTCCTGATGTGGAGTGGCTGAAAAAAGCCAGGACTATGGATGGAACCTGTGTTGTTTGGATCTGATCTATATGGAGTTTAGTAGATTTCCTATGCAATGTTTTAATGTGGTGTTCCTTTGAGCACATTGTGGAATAATTTCTCAATTGGAGTTAGGACTTTGTTATGGACAAGGTAAATAGACCTTGTGTAGGACCTTTAGGTTTAGTTGTTACTTTCAAGTCTTCTATTGTCCCTTTTCCAGGAGTGTAAGAAACATCTTGCAGGCTTGGGGGCTTTGGGTCTGGGCAGCTTGATCACTGAACTCACGGCGAATGAAGAATTGTCTGGGACTGATGGTGCCTTGCTAAATGATGAAGGTGAAGTGTGGACCATGGGGAATATTGTGTGGGTCAGGGAAGGAGGCTAACTATTGTGCACTTACTTTTAAGTGGGAATTAGCTAAAAAGTGATAATTATTGCTTTTTCTTGAGTTATCTCCTTTTTTTTTTCAAATCCATAGGCTGGATTAGAAGTAGAGAAGATGCAGTGGACTATTCAGACATCAGCGAGGTGGCAGAAGATGAAAGCCGAAGATATCAGCAGACAATGGGGAGCTTGCAACCCCTTTGCCGAGGTCTCTCAACATAGCCCTCCTTGTTCTGGAACTCACTATGTATGCCATATGGTCTTAGGCTAGCAGAGATCCTCCTGCCTGTTTCCCAAGGGCTGGGATTAAAGATGCAGATTTAGTGGAGCTCAATTGGAATTTTTGTTTTATTTTGTTTTCGGATAGGGTCTCATGTGTCACAAGCTGGCCTCAAGCTTCATACATAGCTGAGAAGGACTTGAAGGGTTGGTCAAGGGTTGATGTTCCTGCTCTTGTGTCTTTGTGTTGAGATTAAAGACATAGTGTCTCAGACATTTGCTGTAAAGTTATGACTTGTCTACAGATTTGAGAAAATGAGATATAAGAAAGTAATGGGGAAGCCAGGTGTCATGACTCTAGAGGCAGAGGCTGGTGGATCTCTGTAAGTTAGAGACCAACCTGCTGGTCTACATAGGGAGTTCCAGTACAGCTAGCACTACACAGGGAATCCCTGTCTTGAAAACCAGCAAACAAAAGAGAAAAACAAAACAAAAACAAAACAAAACAATAAAACCCAAAACAGAAAGACGGAAATGAATTAGCCCCTGGTGTTTGGTGTTTTGAGACAGGGTAGGGTCTCATTGTGTAGGTGGCAGGCCTGGAACTTTCTGTGTAGACCAGACTGGCCTGTAATACACAGAGATCTATTTTCCTCTGCCTCCCATGTGTTGGGATTAAAGATATTTGAGTATCAGGCCTCAGCAGGCTATTTTGTTTGTTTGTTTCTTTGTTTAAGAAACCGGGAAACAAATAGCAAAAATCAAAGGCAAAACACATTTTGTAGCTTATTTATATATACATTATTTGAGATTTGATGCCATAACGAGGTGCTAGCCAGCATGATTTTTAAATCATGTAGTAGAATGAAGGAATAGATTTCAGGGTCAGAATTCTAGAGGTTCTAATCGCAACTCTATATTACATTTATTATCTGACACTTGAATTTGTCATTTGTAGTAATCACCCAGTTTTCTTCTGTAATCCATAAAATTGGTAATGCTTTCTGGGAATATAAGTTTTTGGTCACATGATGGGAAAGCATCTAGTAACCTCCCCTACCCCCATACTCACCCCCCACCACCAAAGGAGTCTTGATAATCTGACTGGAAAGGTTCCTTTAGGCAGGCAAATTGTGGTAAAATTATAGAAATAAGGTAACACAGGGCAAAATACATCTATTTAGATTAAAATTTGTAGGGTGGGAAGCAGAGATAGGTGGATTTCGCCCAGGTTCTATTTTTTGTTGTTTTAAAAATTACATTTATTACTGTGTGGAAGCACATGATCCGATGCACAGCTTAAAATAATCAGTTCTTTCCTTCTACCATGTGGGCCCTGGGGATCAAACTCAGGTTGTTAGGATTAGTGGTAGGTGTTTTTACCCACTGAGCCATCCTGCCAGCTCCCTTTGGGGTTTTTGATTGCTGCCTTGGGCCACTATGTCATATACTTTAGACCAGCCTTGAACTTGGTCTGTAGTTAAGGATGGCCTTGAACACCTCATCATCCAGCCTCTCACTCCCAAGTGTTGATATTACAGGTGTATTCCACCATATGAGATTACAGGCATGTTCCACCATACTGGCTGGTAAGAGTGATTGTTGAAAAAGGTAATATTTAAAACAAAATAATATTCGGGCAGGCAAGGTAGTGCATGCCTGTAATCCCGATATTTAGGCTACAGAAGACTTTGTGTCAAAACATTAAATGCAGAATATGGGGGTCTGGAGAGATGACTCAGCAGTTAAGAGGTCTTCCAGAGGTTCTAAGATTAATTTCCAGCAACCACATGGCAACTTACAACCATCTATAACGGGATCCAAGGCCCTCTTCTGGTGTACAGATGTACATGCAGAAAAGCACCCATATACATAAAACATATTAACAGACCTTTGCCCAGTCGTGGTAGTGTCACCTTTAATCCACAGCAGTTGGGAGGCAGAGGCAGGTGGATCTCCTGAGTTCAGGGCCGCTCTCATGTACAGAGCAATTGCCAAGACAGCCAGGACTATATAGAAACCTTGTCTTGAAAAAACAAAACAAGAGGGCTGGAGAGATGGATCAGTGGTTAAGAGCACTAGCTATACTTCCACATGGACCCGGGTTCAATTCCCAGCAACCACATGGCAGGTCACAAGTATCCATAACTCCAGTCCCATGTATTCTGACACCTTCTTGCCAAGTCACAGAGAATAAATTGTTTTTTTTTTTTTTTTAAGAAAAAACTATGTTGTTCAGGACCAATTACTGAATATTGCCAGTAGTTAAAATCATTGAAAAGAATGATCAGCTGCCAGTGATAGAAAAAAAATGTACCAAGGACTTGGGAACTGTGAAGAAAAATCGAGTTTTTACTGTGTTTAATTTTTTTAAATTGGGAAAGAATATTCAACTATATTGAACAACGGAAATCAAAACCCAGTATGATAAGGAAAAGGTTTCAAAGAGTTCCTGGAAGCTCTCATACCCCATGTAACAGATGAACATTTGGCTATACTATATCTTTCTGAAGGCAGAAGCTATATCTCCTGTGTTGTTTTATGTTTTGTTGTTTGTTTTTTGAGATCACTTCTTACTTTGTGGCCCTGGTTAGCCTCAAACTCAGATCTACCTGATTCTGCCTCCTTAGTGCTGAGATTAAAGGTTAGTGGCACATGCACACACACACACACACACACACACACACACACACACACACACACACAAACATACATACATGACTCTTATGTATTCTTAAATGATACATAACACTTTTGTGGTGCTTTAAATTCTTGAGAGTTGAAGGGAGCTCCAGGGTATTGTATAGCATTCTTCATACTAAGGAGATAACCTTGGTTTTATCAGATTATGATGAAGATGACTATGATGCTGATTGTGAAGATATTGATTGCAAGTTGATGCCTCCCCCACCTCCACGCCTAGGACCACCAAAGAAAGATAAAGACCAAGATGGTGTTACTGATGGTAAGTAAAAATTGTTTACTTTCCTTTTAGGAAAAACTTTCTGTTTATAAAACCAGACTTTCAGCATGTTTAAGGGGCTTAAAAATATGTTAGAGAAGGATGGTACTCATAGAAAAAAGTATTAAGAGTCCAATGCTGATATGAATAGAAATTAGTTTCTGTTCATAAAACCAGAATTTTGGCATGCTTAAGTGGCTTAAAAAAATAGGGTAGAAAAGGAATGGGACTTATAGAAAAACGTGTTAGAGTCCAGTGCTTCTATTGAATAGAAATTTTGCTTTTAAAATGCTCAGTAGCAGACAGTCAAGAAATAATAAGTTAACTCAGGGCTTCTCAAATTAGGCTACTCATCACAGTTACCTAGATACCTGGTTCTTCTGCAGTGTTTGATTC